AATCGAAATACAAATTTGCTTAAAGATCAGTGCATATTACACACTGTGACATGGGGATCAGAAATACAGACTTTGACCAAGGAAATGCTGCAAATAGCGCAATGAGGTAAGGACATGTGCGTGCTTGGAATTACACTGAAAGAGTAGCAAGTTTATTAGAGAACATACACAGACTAGACACATCATATTGACTCAAGAAACGTTTATGGGCTTTGGCAAGATAAGTCGCTGGAAGGGGGTGTTTGTGAGTGGTAGTAATGCGCCTGAGATGACGTCCACCACGGATAACGAGCAATGAAATCAGCTCGTGTAAGGAGCTGGATGGATTGTTGTCGAATCACTACAGAGCGTTAGAGTGCACCTTGAAGAAACTTAAAATAATTAACTTGCCAAAAATGTGTGGGATGGCAAGGGGTACAACATCGGTGTGTCGTAGCTACTAAATAAGAGATGACAGAACAGATGCTTTTCGTTGAGTCATTATATCAGCCATGATATAATGAAAAAGATACGGAACTGTATTTGTTAGATGGTCTCCTTCAGCTGTCGTCATCTCTTATTTTCCACTACATAGGGCTTCTACAAACAAACTAATTTATTTGCTCCATCTCAGGGGGAAAACTGAAATTGTCATGCTGCATGTAAGGGGATCACATTGGCTCTCATGTATTTGGTGAAGAGGACCCCAATGCAGTTCTTCAGGAAGTGTAGGTTTTCTTTGCTGAATAATGCACCAGGCCCGAGTGCTTGTGAAACGTACGTATAACATTATATATGTGCACGTCCTTACACAAATGGGGGAAACAGAGGTGCGGTTAAGCCAGGGGTGGGCACATTTTTTGACTCGCGGGCCACAATGGGTTCTAAAATTTGACAGAGGGGCCGGGCCAGGAACAGATGGATGGAGTGTTTGTGTGAACTAATATAAATGACATGTAAAAATCATTACATGAAAGGATTTGGCCTTTAACAGGTAGCACAGCATTGATTTGCAAGGCAATTTAACAAATTGCACGAACATGAACAATACAAAAGCATGTCGTCACGTGACTGGTCAATCATCGTGAAAACATCTGAGGCCTGCGCCCAAACCAATTACCTCACTTGAACTTCTTTCATATTCTTAGCTCTTTCGGTAAAGTCACGTTGAAGGGAAGCAATTAAATAATAAAATATATAAAACAATAAAAACTATAAAAATTCTCACGACGTTTCCACCATAACACAAATGGTCATCATCAGGTGATGACCGTTTGTGTTATGGTCGAAACGTCGTGAGAATTTTTATTGTTTTATATATATTTTATTATTTTATTGTTTCCCTTCAACGTGACTTTACCGAAAGAGCTAAGAATATGAATTACTGCAGTCACGAAAGCTTTAAATAAAAATTGAACTTCTTTATGATCTACATTAACAGGTTAGAGCAGCCACGCAGGCTGTGTGTCGGAGATTTGGCTCCAACCTCGCTGCAGCAACACATCATCACTTTCAGTTTCAGTGGGAACAGTGTTGTTGATCTCCCATTTTTGCCAGTGCATCCAAGTCCTGGAGTCATTTTGGTTGTGGCAATTCTCAAGAGAGATCTGAGGTGCTGATCCGTTAACTTTGATCTGTGACAGGCTTTGTTGGCGTTCATGACGCTGAATGTCTGCTCACACACATAAGTCGAGCCAAACAAAGTCAGCATCTTCTGTGCAGTCCTCCGGAGGTTTGGAAACGTGGCTCTGTTAAGTGAAGCATAGTCATTCAGTTTAACAGAGTTGAACTTCTCCTTTAGGACGAAGTCAGACTGAAGATCTATCAGTTCCAACTGCAGCTCCTGTGGTGCTGTTTCAGAGTCTTGTGATAGGGGACAGGACACCAGCTGAAGTGACTGTTCAATGTTTTCGAAATCAGAGAACCTACGGCAGAATTCTCCGTGCAGGTCCTCAAGTGATTTGCTGTATTTTTTTTTGCGTTTCGCGGTGCCTCTTCCTGCATGGCAAGTGTGGGGAAATGAGCGAAAGATTTGTTCGCAATTTGTCTGGAGAACAAAGTGAGTTTGGATTTGAAGGCTTTCACATGTTTGTACATGTCGTGAACAAACCGATCTTTCCCCTGCAGTTTCACATTCAGCTCATTCATGTGTGAAAATATGTCCACAGCAAACGCAAAGTCACAAAGCCAGTTCTTGTCGCTTAGCTCAGGGAATTCGTCAGATTTCCCCATCAACTCCAAAAATGCGATGATGTCCTCTTTCAGCTCCCACACTCGTTGTAACACTTTCCCCAAACTTAACCAGCGGACACGAGAGTGGTACAGCAAGTCCTGATGATCCGCATCAGTTTCCTCCAGGAACGTAATAAACTGACGGTGCTGAAGTCCCCTTGCTCGTATAAAGTTAACAAGTTTTACGGCTGGATTCACGACATGATTAAGCTGCAATACAGACTTACACAGGGATTCCTGATGGATGGTGCAGTGAAGGAAAATTAGATCCTGGTCAGGGTTTTCCTCTTTCACTTTATTCCGGATTCTTTTCTGCAGCCCAAAAAATTTTCCAGTTAATTATTCCAAGGTAGCTTCATTCCTTCGATGACAGCAGACACCTGGTTATACAAGTCCTCTCCCCGCGTTGTTCCTTTCAGGGACTCCATGGTCAAAAACGCCTCTGTTATCGCACAACTGTCGTCAATGCCTCGGATAAAAATGAGGAGCTGAGCAGTGCCTTTTACGTCCGTACTTTCATCCAGTGCTAGTGAATATAACTCAAAGGAATCAGACTTTTTGTTTAATTGGCTGACTATATTTTCATCAATAAGTTCCACACGGTGAGTCACAGTCCTGCGTCATAAATTGACTTTTTCAAATTTGCTTTTGATCTCCGGACACAAGATGTCTGCTGTCTGTACTATGCATTCTTTTACAAACTCGCCTTCGGAGAAAGGCTTGCTAGCCTTTGCTATTTCGAATGCCACCAAAAAACTTGCCTTGGTAGTTGACTCTTGAATCGCAGTTTGTCGGTGAAAAAAATGTTGCTGAGTCGGTAAATTAGCCGCCAACCTCTGAGCCGTAGCCGCCCGTTCTTTCGTTGACTGCTTGCTAGAGTAGTTAGCATGCTTCGTAACAAAGTGACGGCTGATGTCGTACTCCTTGAAAACTGCGACAGTTTCTCGGCATATCAGGCATACAGCCTTCGATTGGACTTCAGTGAAAAATAATTTTGTTGTCCACTCCGTGTTAAACACTCGGCACTCATTGTCCACTTCTCGTTACCTTGATCCGCTCATTTTACAGAAGGGCTCACAGGGCAAAGCGAAAAAGTGAAGGGAGCACCGTATCTAACTCAGCAATGTAAACAAACCCTGAAAATGGCGCTGACGGCCCACAATGCATTGCGAGATCATGTGTCCTTTCGAGCCCTATACACCACACTCCCGGTCAAAGTGCGCCATCTAATGGGGAAATGGGGGCATTACAGGAGAAAGGTAAAATTTTATTTAATAATATTTGTGTTATGGTCGAAACGTCGTGAGAATTTTTATTGTTATATATATATATTTTATTATTTTGTTGTTTCCCTTCAACGTGACTTTACCGAAAGAACTAAGAATATGAATTACTGCAGTCACGAAAGCTTTAAATCAAAATATTTGTACAAGTTCGGCGGGCCGGATTAAAAAGGCCAACGGGCCGTATACGGCCCGGGGGCCGTACTTTGCCCTTGTCTGGGTTAAGCCCTCTGCCTGTACACCACCCTCAGCGGGAATTTAAATGGCGCAGATAATTTGACATGACATAATTTAACACTAAGTTAACATTCAATTGTCTACTGATGCTTCTGCGTGCACAATCATAATTTTTGTTTTACGGCCTTAAATTTTAAAAGTCTTTTGCAGGCATTTTGGGCAATATTTGCTGGACAGGCCATTGCCTGAAACGTCGCCTCTTATGTATTTTTATTTTGAAGGTCACAGTGTGCTCTTGACAAATGTGTTGAAGTTATTTTTGTTTGTTTTATACTTTAGAATTGCCCAACATTGAGGAAACCTCACAGTGAGCTTCAACTCACGAAGCGGAGTTTGTTGTTAACAAACCCACAGCGACAGCGGCGCTCTAATTACACCGACTGCTTTATTCATACCTGGAAGCCCCTTATCAGTGCCCTACATTATTACAAATTCAGACCTCATTGGTGACCCCGTGCCCCTTATAAATCTCAACGTTCATCCTACAAAGTCCCATCACAAGGGGAGAAACACAAATAGACAAAACAAATGTGTACGCGTATGGACCTGAAAACTAAATATCCCTGTACAAGAATGCGGGGTAAACCGTACGGGTTGACAGGGATGCATCATTGTTTCGGGGCACGCTTTTAAAAGTTTTGAGGACAACGGTAATCGATTCATCCGTGACAATCTATGAGAATCGATCCAACTCATCACTGGAATTAATTTTCAAAGGTGGGAGAATCGAATATTAGTTTGTGGTAATCGATTCTTCCGTGATCGTCGTGTTCAGAATAGTGGCAGGAATCGATTCAAAATTGTAGTTACGCAACAGAATCGATTATTCGTCGCTTCGGTCCATTCTTTTTATTATAATCCGTAACTCAAAATAATCATCGTGGCGTCGTAGGTGGAGAACCTCCAAGACAATAAGCTGACGCTACGCATCCTTAATATATCCTTCTCTCCACAGAATGCATGGCTTACATGAACGCACAACCCACCAGCCCGACTATGGGTTATGGACGAAACACTTGGATAAATCTATGAATCTATGAACGCATCAGCGATTTATTTCAGCTCACGATACGCGCGTCCACTGGCTTTGTAGAGCGGACACACGACTGGGACAACGCGACCCTCGCAGCCGCTAGAGGCCGCAATATCACCCCAAGAAAATAAGGAATCGATCCACGCTCCAAATTAATCGGAATCGCCAGCAGTGGAGGAGGAGAGTGGGGGGAATCGTCACCCGGTGCCTCTCAGCGAGGAATCGATGTGTAGGTAATCGCTCTTGAAGTAATCGCTCTCATATTGTGAATCGATCCGCAATGTCCGTCGACTTCACGAACGAGGCCGAGGTCCGCGAGTTCCTCAGCGGCATCCGCACCGAGTACGGGTACCAGTGTCTACGTGAGCGAGAACCAGAGGGTACGTGGGTACCAGAGGGTACCAGTGTCTACGTGAGCGAGAACCAGAGGGTACGTGGGTACCAGAGGGTACGTGGGTACCAGTGTCTACGTGAGCGAGAACCAGAGGGTACGTGGGGACCAGAGGGTACGTGGGTACCAGTGTCTACGTGAGCGAGAACCAGAGGGTACGTGGGGACCAGAGGGTACCAGTGTCTACGTGAGCGAGAACCAGAGGGTACGTGGGTACCAGTGTCTACGTGGGTACCAGTGTCTACGTGAGCGAGAACCAGAGGGTACGTGGGGACCAGAGGGTACCAGTGTCTACGTGAGCGAGAACCAGAGGGTACGTGGGTACCAGAGGGTACCAGAGGGTACCAGTGTCTACGTGAGCGAGAACCAGAGGGTACGTGGGTACCAGTGTCTACGTGAGCGAGAACCAGAGGGTACGTGGGTACCAGTGTCTACGTGAGCGAGAACCAGAGGGTACGTGGGTACCAGTGTCTACGTGAGCGAGAACCAGAGGGTACGTGAGTACCAGTGTCTACGTGAGCGAGAACCAGAGGGTACGTGGGTACCAGAGGGTACCAGTGTCTACGTGAGCGAGAACCAGAGGGTAGGTGGGTACCAGAGGGTACCAGTGGGTACCAGTGTCTACGTGAGCGAGAACCAGAGGGTACGTGGGTACCAGTGTCTACGTGAGCGAGAACCAGAGGGTACGTGGGTACCAGAGGGTACGTGGGGACCAGAGGGTACCAGTGTCTACGTGAGCGAGAACCAGAGGGTACGTGGGGACCAGAGGGTACGTGGGGACCAGAGGGTACCAGTGTCTACGTGAGCGAGAACCAGAGGGTACGTGGGTACCAGAGGGTACCAGTGTCTACGTGAGCGAGAACCAGAGGGTACGTGGGTACCAGAGGGTACGTGGGTACCAGTGTCTACGTGAGCGAGAACCAGAGGGTACGTGGGTACCCGAGGGTACCAGTGTCTACGTGAGCGAGAACCAGAGGGTACGTGGGTACCAGTGTCTACGTGAGCGAGAACCAGAGGGTACGTGGGGACCAGAGGGTACCAGTGTCTACGTGAGCGAGAACCAGAGGGTACGTGGGTACCAGAGGGACCAGTGTCTACGTGAGCGAGAACCAGAGGGTACGTGGGTACCATAGGGTACCAGTGTCTACGTGAGCGAGAACCAGAGGGTACGTGGGTACCAGAGGGTACCAGTGTCTACGTGGGCGAGAACCAGAGGGTACGTGGGTACCAGAGGGTACGTGGGGACCAGAGGGTACCAGTGTCTACGTGAGCGAGAACCAGAGGGTACGTGGGTACCAGAGGGTACGTGGGTACCAGTGTCTACGTGAGCGAGAACCAGAGGGTACGTGGGTACCAGAGGGTACCAGAGGGTACCAGTGTCTACGTGAGCGAGAACCAGAGGGTACGTGGGTACCAGAGGGTACCAGTGTCTACGTGAGCGAGAACCAGAGGGTACGTGGGGACCAGAGGGTACCAGTGTCTACGTGGGTACCAGTGTCTACGTGAGCGAGAACCAGAGGGTACGTGGGTACCAGAGGGTACGTGGGTACCAGTGTCTACGTGAGCGAGAACCAGAGGGTACGTGGGTACCAGAGGGTACCAGTGTCTACGTGAGCGAGAACCAGAGGGTACGTGGGTACCAGAGGGTACGTGGGTACCAGTGTCTACGTGAGCGAGAACCAGAGGTTACGTGGGGACCAGAGGGTACCAGAGGGTACCAGTGTCTACTTGAGCGAGAACCAGAGGGTACGTGGGTACCAGAGGGTACGTGGGTACCAGAGGGTACCAGTGTCTACGTGAGCGAGAACCAGAGGGTACGTGGGGACCAGAGGGTACCAGTGTCTACGTGGGTACCAGTGTCTACGTGAGCGAGAACCAGAGGGTACGTGGGTACCAGAGGGTACGTGGGTACCAGTGTCTACGTGAGCGAGAACCAGAGGGTACGTGGGGACCAGAGGGTACGTGGGTACCAGTGTCTACGTGAGCGAGAACCAGAGGGTACGTGGGGACCAGAGGGTACGTGGGTACCAGTGTCTACGTGAGCGAGAACCAGAGGGTACGTGGGTACCAGAGGGTACCAGTGTCTACGTGAGCGAGAACCAGAGGGTACGTGGGTACCAGAGGGTTCCAGTGTCTACGTGAGCGAGAACCAGAGGGTACGTGGGTACCAGTGTCTACGTGAGCGAGAACCAGATGGTACGTGGGGACCAGAGGGTACCAGTGTCTACGTGAGCGAGAACCAGAGGGTACGTGGGGACCAGTGTCTACGTGAGCGAGAACCAGAGGGTTCGTGGGTACCAGTGTCTACGTGAGCGAGAACCAGAGGGTACGTGGGGACCAGAGGGTAACAGTGTCTACGTGAGCGAGAACCAGAGGGTACGTGGGGACCAGAGAGTACCAGAGGGTACCAGTGTCTACGTGAGCGAGAACCAGAGGGTACGTGGGGACCAGTGTCTACGTGGGTACCAGTGTCTACGTGAGCGAGAACCAGAGGGTACGTGGGGACCAGAGGGTACGTGGGTACCAGAGGGTACCAGTGTCTACGTGAGCGAGAACCAGAGGGTACGTGGGTACCAGTGTCCACGTGAGCGAGAACCAGAGGGTACGTGGGGACCAGAGGGTACCAGTGTCTACGTGAGCGAGAACCAGATGGTACGTGGGTACCAGTGTCTACGTGAGCGAGAACCAGAGGGTACGTGGGTACCAGTGTCTACGTGAGCGAGAACCAGAGGGTACGTGGGTACCAGAGGGTCCCAGTGTCTACGTGAGCGAGAACCAGAGGGTACATGGGTACCAGTGTCTACGTGAGCGAGAACCAGAGGGTACGTGGGGACCATAGGGTACCAGTGTCTACGTGAGCGAGAACCAGAGGGTACGTGGGTACCAGAGGGTACCAGTGTCTACGTGAGTGAGAACCAGAGGGTACGTGGGTACCAGAGGGTACCAGTGTCTACGTGGGTACCAGTGTCTACGTGAGCGAGAACCAGAGGGTACGTGGGTACCAGTGTCTACGTGAGCGAGAACCAGAGGGTACGTGGGTACCAGTGTCTACGTGAGCGAGAACCAGAGGGTACGTGGGTACCAGAGGGTACCAGAGGGTACCAGTGTCTACGTGAGCGAGAACCAGAGGGTACGTGGGGACCAGAGGGTACCAGTGTCTACGTGAGCGAGAACCAGAGGGTACGTGGGGACCAGAGGGTACGTGGGTACCAGTGTCTACGTGAGCGAGAACCAGAGGGTACGTGGGTACCAGTGTCTACGTGAGAGAGAACCTGAGGGTAGGAGTCTCCTTCTAACACGGGTCAGAGGGTACGAGAGGCTCCTTTCTAACAGGAACCAGCAGGTACGAGTCACCTCAAACCTTTACGCTTCAAACTAACTCCACTCCGGTATCTAAAACGAACACTTTTTATACGTCCCGATAACTCTGTCCCGAACGCTCTTCCTAGCGTAGACACACCAACACTGCCCTTGACACGCACGTGGAATATCAAATCTTGTCAAGGGTAATGATGATGGGTTTTGTTCAGTGCAGTCTTTGGTGGCTGTCCAGAGGAATCAAACTCGAGACAAGTTGATCCAACCACGACTGGGAAAGCCAAGTTACACGGGAGACACCTCCGTGTTGCTGACTCAATGTCATACACATGGCCATTGTGTACAGTTTGTCTCGAAAGCGAAAAATCAGAGGTTTAAATCTCATGGGTTGACTGACCATCATCATCATCATCCCTCGTCATCATCATCATCACTCGCTCTGTGTCCCTTCATTCATTCCGTGAACTTGTTGAACGTGAGTTTTGTTTTGCTTGTTATCTTGCGTCCCACTTTTTAGCTTTATTCAGGTATTCTTACACATTTCCTGTAGTACATTGTCATTGGATGCTATATTGATGATGCCATAAGCAAATCTGAGATGGGTAATATTTTATCCATTTATGATTGTGCCTTTGTTTCTCCAATCCAATGTTCGGATAATATTTCTAACATTGCTGTGTTACAACTTTTGTCCAAAATCATGTCTCCTTGGCTGACTTCTCTGGTAATGTTTTATTATGTAATACAATCTCACTGTTGTACCACTTTGTGGGAAGTACTCAGTTGTTGTCCAACTGTGAGTGCGCCAAATATATGCGGAATTTAATCCACTGCCTCAGGTTCCCAATTGCAGATAAGTGCTGCCCATTGCTTGGTTGAAAAAAGGGACACTTTGGCTTTGAAAAGAATAGCAAATCTCGGCTTGAACTCAGATAATGGCTCGGTGGTGGATTATGAACCCGCTGAGACGGCTTTTGTAAAACATGCCCTTAATTGACTCTCACTCTCTCCCACCCACAGGCTGCCATCGTCTGGCTGAGTTCCTACACAGCGTAGAGCGAGACTTCCCAGCGGCAGCAAAGCTCCTGCAGCTGAATTGTGAGAAGAATGGCTTCACGAAGAGCTGTGCCAAGCTGGGAACGTACCACGCGCTGGGCAGGGGTGAGCACGGCCACACCACCTACAGCACCAACTCCTAAACAATTCAAGCACCACAGCGATTCCTGTAATCTAACACTACCACCACCTAGAACACGAACACTACACCACCTACAACATTCATACTTCTACCACCTACAACACGAATACTGCTACTACTACTGTCAAAGTGGCAGACCTAGGCCAGGTAAGGCTCGTCCACCGTCAGTTCCCCACCCCTGGTGTACAGGGCAGTAGGCTCGTGATTCCTGGCCGATCGGTGCCTGCCGTGTGACCTGTCCCCAGGAGGAATGGTGGTGGATTTGGCTCGTGCCGTTGAACTCTTCTCGAGGTCTTGCCTGGGGGCGGTGACCCCCGACCCGGCATCTCCAGTCTCCGTTGCCGCATCCCCAGGCTCTACCACTTTCACCCCATCCCCTGAGGGCTGCAACAATCTTGGCGAGATGGCCAGGCAAGGCACAGGCTTCCCTGGCGGGCAGGCCCGTCCGGAGGTGGCTCGCCGCGCGTTTGAGTTGGCGTGTGCAGGTGAGATCGCCTCCAGCTGCCTCCAGCTCAGCATCATGCACATGCAAGCGGAGAGCAGGTGAGATGGAGGCCTTGGCCAACTGACAATACATTACATTTTATGTAAGCAGACATTCTTATTTCTATGTGTGAATATGTGGGTCCCTGTATTTGTCACGTGAGTATTTAGGTGTCGGTGAGAGTTTACGTACCTTTGTGCGAGTCTTTAAGTCTATGTCAGTTGATAAGTACGTGTGAGTATATGTGTCCCTATGAGGTTATAAACTTCTCTATGTCAGTACATTGCTAATGGGTCTATGCTTGTAATTTTGTCGGTGATGACGATGTTGATGCACCCGCGCTGTTTGCAGGGACATGTCGCGCGCCTTGCTGTATGCGGAGCGCGCCTGCCACCTGGGTCACCCGTGGGGCTGCATTAACGCCGGGCGGATGCTTCACCTGGGGGATGGAGTCAAACCCAACCCTGAGAGGGCACGGGAGCTCAGGGAGCGAGCCGCGCTGCTAGCCCGGGCGGCACACTGAGGAGGACTCACGAGACACGAGAGATGATAAAATCATGGACACCTGAGCTTTCGCCTTCCATCTCACTGACCAGGATTGGCACTAGCAAGGGAAACGCAGTCCACATTGGCACTCAATACACAACACCGATACGCCCCAACATGGTATGTGATGGTACACGATACTCCACACTCCACAAGTATGAACCCGTGTGATATGCATGTACCCATGTGATGCACATGAAACTATTAATCATGTGTATCACGTGTCCAGCTTGAATACAGAACACACGGCACTTGGTGGTCTCACACTTACTCAGGCTGACAGATTTATCTGACAGAATCCAAAATGTGGGACCAAGAGGAAGATCTAGTGCCAGGTGGTGGTGATGATGAGACTGTAAGAGCGGTCCCTGAAGGATTGCGTTAACTGTAACAAGAGGAAGACCCAAAGCCAGATGAGATGCTACACCCTTCATTGGATCTGGCAGAAGCAGGGAAGCAATGCTGATGTTTGGTGACCTCTGCACGGACGTGTTGGCCTTTATAATATATGTTTTGAGCAGATTATTATTCTTGGGTCTTTCGGTAAAGTCACGTAGATGGGTTCAAAGAAAATAACAAAAACTACGACGTTTCGATCGCAATGCAAGCAATCATCAGGATGTACCTATGTGATGCACATGAAACTATAGATTGTGTCGGGATCGAAACGTAGTTTATTGTTATTTTTGTTTTCTTTTAACCTATCTATATGACTTTACCGAAAGACCCAATAATATGAATTGCTGCAGTGACGAAAGCTTTAAGTCAGATTATTGTTGTTGGGAATTTTGTCTGGAGAAATAAAGAACACGTGATTGTTCTCTCAGCACAAGTTTTTGGTTGTGTGTGAAAGCACATTAGTGGGATTTGGTCGCAGACGGGGTCAGTGCTGTGAGCCAGCCCCTGTTCACAAGCGATGGAACCCCAAAGAAACAGCTCGTGTAGCTACACTGCTAGCTTGTGCGTTTCCTGGGAAATCTGTCATGAGTGAATCTTCATGAGAAAATTTAAATTTTCAGTCAAGAGCTCCCTGAGAATATGCTGAATCACTCCACTTTTTAACACAACATCCTTGTTAGATCTATCGTTTGGGTTGTGCTTTCATTTAATGCTAACACAGCCTTTAGGGTTAAGTCATCCTAGGGGAGGCTCAGGTTAGTCACCAATTCTATTTGCCCCTTTTCATCGCCAGGAATCAAACTCCGGTATTGTATGGTTTATTGTTCAATGCGGTCTGTAATCAAATCACCCGGAATGCATCCAGTCGCAGAAAATAATCAGACTGGAGCCTGGATAGTGCTTGGAATGGGCAACCACCACGACGAGCACACAGGTTGTCATAGGGCCGCAGGGTTCCATAATGAGCAGACGGGTAGTGCAGCAACATTATTGTTGGACTCCCACGGCTGAAACTGAATCAGAGCTGCACAGATGAAATTGACCATTGTTTTAACAGAGCCCATTCTCCTCCACATACCCACTCCAGGTAAAAGCCACGCCTGTGCTCTTGTGCCTTCAACCTTAACTGACCAGTATGGTGATGTATGGTAAAAACAACCTCCATGACCCACAACGTGTGTGGAGGCCCACATCAGCAGTGGATTGAAAAAGGGCCATACACGTATACAGTACAGTTCAATGAAGCAATTTACATCTCCGTTCCCCTCACTCGCACACAGTTGTCAAAGACTGAGAACAGCCACCCCTTGATGTGAACGCTTTTTTTTAATTGAAAGCCGTAAACGAGCATCAATCACTGGCACTGCATACACATGGAACAGTCAATCCGAACCGACGGCACGATCACAAGCTCCACCCACCAGCACAGCCACGATGATGGGGAGAGGAACTGGGAGACAGACCCAGGAAATGTTGTTCAATGTGGAGAATCTAACACTAAAGGTCGCATTGGATTTCCAGATCACTGACACCTTTAAAAAGAGACTTGCAGTCTCAGTGGGTACTTACGCCCATTAAGCAACACGGCATATAACCCGGAAAAACACGTCTGGAGGGCTATACAGCACGTCCACGAAAACCAACGCATTAGAAAGTTCTCGCCTGGTTAAATACATGGAACGGAACTTAACTAGATCCAGGAATTTCAATCGACTCTCCTGGTTAAATAGATGGTGAATTAAAAAAAACTGTTTTGGGTGTACAGGGGACATTCCCACGCAGATGGATTGGATTGCAAGGTTCCATTGAATGGCCACTAAAGTCACGCCAGACCTCATGCCCCTTAATTTGTTTCTGTGGGGGCGTTTGAAGTCGGTCTAGACTAATCATCCCGGAGACAGATCGAACGAAAGGCAAAAATACGAACTGTTTGAGCCTGATAAGATCGGTATGGACCAATTGAGGAATGTTCGAGCAAATGGTGCACAGTTCCGGCATCTGCAATTACTGTCGGGACGTATGGTTCCTGACTTTTGCCATGCTATGTATATTACCTGGGCAGAAGTCTCAATGGGCTGTCCCTCAGTCCTGGTTAAATACAGGCAGGAGTCACAATTGACTGTCTCTCCTGGTCAAATAGACACCTCAATTGGCTCCCTGTCCTGATTACATCGGGGACATAAATCCCAATCGGTTGTCTCGTGCTTTTGCCTGGCTCACTATCGAAAATGAATCTCAGTGAGCTGTCTCGCTTTCGCTCGGTTACATAGAGAACACTGAAATAGATCAATAAGTGCCCGTTCGTTGACCTTCCGTGTCTCGATTTACCTACCATCGTATCAATATTAGATGGACATTCCACTGACACAACTACTAAACACGCACACACGTACATGCATACACACACGAATGTTCTAAAAGCGGCCACAATGAAGCCTGCCCACTTGGCACGCGCGTATTACAGCCGTGTACTTGATTGTGTACGCACAGACGCACGCACACACACGCAAACGCGCACACGCGGAGTTAGGCACATGGTCCAAAGTGGTAACGACTTTGCACACAAATATCTCCGAAAACCCGACACGAATCGTAATACTTAAAACCGCAAGGGCTGCCACCCCTAGAGAAATCAGTTTCAGGGCCTACTTTGATCCGGCTCTGTCGGGGTAAGTGTCCCAGACAATAACTCCTCAATTGGCACATCACATCCAGGATACCTCTCTATGACTGCGGCTAATAGCCACGTGCCACCTACTTCAGTCTACAAGCAGCCCAGAAAAAACAAATATTCGGATATAACATTAAAAAGTTCAAATATGTGCCTCGTCAGCATAATTTGTACTCGTATAGTTTTTGTTTTACTCTTTGAATAGCCACTTGCGTGGTTTGACACCGTTGTTGCAAACACCCATATTCTAGGATATATAACTTAAATACAAAGGTGGCAGTTGAACTTAGCAGGCTTTACCTGGAGTGGGTTGGGAAAAGGACGTGTGTGTGTGTGGAGGGTAATGGGCTCCGTTAAAACAATTTAGTTTCAGTATTGCCACTTGTTATTTTTGTTTTATGTTCCAGCTACACAAAGGTGAATGTACACATTTCTGGGGAAGGAACTTGCAAAACAAGGCATTTCACAATGTCTACTTCAGAATCCAGTGATAGGTTAACCACAACGCCAACTCCACGCCACAGTGTTTTTGCGAAAATCGCAGTGTGCGCAATAATGGCATTGCAAACACTGTAAACAACCTCAGGGGAGTGGTTCTAACAACAACAAAAGGTTTTCTGGGGTTAGATCGCGTAAGTATAAATGTGTATACCGGCCACCACCCGACACAGCCAACCAGTAAGGTTTATCACGTAAACAAAACGTGCCAATTGGTTACTCCTTCAGCCCACAACATTTATAACTGGAGTACGACGTTTTGCTGGTAATTACATCCAGAATCATCGGGCGATTTTACCAGAATTGTGAAGAGATCTACCTGCTTCAGGTCTTAAATAGAGCAAGATGTGTTAGCGACACATTTATACTTACTAGATATAACCCTAAAAAAACAACTTTATTACGATTAATATTGGTCACGAAAGCCTATGTGTCCAAAAAAAACATGAACTGAAACATTAACTCCTGGTATCCAATAGAAATCACCAATAACAGGGCTGCAGGGTTGGCGCAGTGGCAATCGCCTGTCCCTCACAACAAGAAGGCCTGGCTTTGATTCTCGACTCGGGCGCCTTTTGGTGTGGAGTTTGTATGTCCTGCCCGTGGTCTACCGTGGGTTGCCTCCAGGTTATCGGGTTTCCTTCCACAGGTGAAAAAAAACCCCGTACATTGTAACTGATATTGGTCCAACATCCCCTTGCTAAACATTTTTTACCTGCAAATGTATTGAAAACTTGGTAGGGCCCTCCAGAAAAACGAGTTTTGTGACTCAGTGAGGCTTTCCTGGGTAAACAATTGTATATAAATACCAGATAATGGGATGTCATTATCCATGCGTGTTACTCCTATAATCGTGTGTATTAACAGACAATAAAAGAGGACTGATCCACATTAACCAGGTTTAATCGTGGATCGGCCTGGTCCTGCCGATAGATTTGGTTGTGGATAAATAGGCTGTTATTAAGAGGCGTTTCACAGTTTGCAAGTACTGTAATACACAAATTAGTTATCAAATATGCAATGAAACATCTCAAGCCCACTGCGCATTGGGGGAGGCGGGAGGGGTAAAACAGTGATGAATATATGCAGCATTGTGTTATTTTATCAAATATGCATACAATATTCCTTAACAGGCAATGAGTGTTTTAAATTCTCCCGTCCTCGAAACACTCATCACAAATTCACACTGATGCACAACTACTGTCATCGTCATGATCATCCAGCCGTGATCAATCTGCTGTTGAATTAAGGATTCCCTAAGCCAATGCCATCTGTAATGGTCCTGCAATGTAACTGTTCATCTAACACAGGCGTGGCCAACCTGTAACAGACCAAGAGCCACAAAGTACCCATGAGTTCTGCAAAGAGCCGAGTGTATATATACTATCATATTCAACGTATGCAACTTTAATTCATGATTCTTTGCTACTGTAATAGTACGCTCTACGTTTTGCCCTTTCGATAGAGCCGCATGTAGTGGAATTAAAGAGCCGCGTGTAGTGGAATAGAGAGCCGCGTGTAGTGTAATAGAGAGCCGCGTGTAGTGGAATAGAGAGTCGCTTGTAGTGAAATAAAGAGCCGCATGTAGTGGAATAGAGAGCCGCGTGTAGTGGAATAGAGAGCTGTATGTAGTGGAATAGAGAGCCGCATGTAGTGGAATAAAGAGCCGCGTGTAGTGGAATAGAGCCGCGTGTAGTGGAATAGAGAGCCGCGTGTAGTGGAATAGAGACGCGTGTAGTGTAATAGAGAGCCGCGTGTAGTGGAATAGAGAGCCGCGTGTAGTGGAATAGAGAGCCGCGTGTAGTGGAATAGAGAGCCGCGTGTAGTGGAATAGAGAGTCGCGTGTAGTGTAATAGAGAGCCGCATGTAGTGGAATAGAGAGTCGCGTGTAGTGGAATAGAGAGCCGTATGTAGTGGAATAGAGAGCCGCGTGTAGTGGAATAGAGAGCCGCATGTAGTGGAATAGAGAGCCGCGTGTAGTGGAATAGAGAGCCGCGTGTAGTGGAATAGAGAGCCGCGTGTAGTGGAATAGAGAGCCGCGTGTAGTGGAATAGAGAGCCGCGTGTAGTGGAATAGAGACGCGTGTAGTGGAATAGAGAGCCGCGTGTAGTGGAATAAAGAGCCGCGTGTAGTGGAATAGAGAGCCACATGTAGTGGAATAGAGAGCCGCGTGTAGTGGAATAGAGAGCCGCGTGTAGTGGAATAGAGCCACATGTAGTGGAATAGAGAGCCGCGTGTAGTGGAATAGAGAGCCGCGTGTAGTAGAATAGAGAGCCGCGTGTAGTGGAATAGAGAGTCGCGTGTAGTGGAATAGAGAGCCGCATGTAGTGGAATAGAGAGTCGCGTGTAGTGTAATAAAGAGACGCGTGTAGTGGAATAGAGAGCCACATGTAGTGGAATAGAGAGCCACATGTAGTGGAATAGAGAGCCGCGTGTAGTGGAATAGAGAGCCGCGTGTAGTGGAATAGAGAGCCACATGTAGTGGAATAGAGAGCCACATGTAGTGGAATAGAGAGTCGCGTGTAGTGGAATAGAGAGCCGCGTGTAGTGGAATAGAGAGCCGCGTGTAGTGGAATAGAGAGCCGCGTGTAGTGGAATAGAGAGTCGCGTGTAGTGGAATAGAGAGCCACATGTAGTGGAATAGAGAGCCGCATGTAGTGGAATAGAGAGTCGCGTGTAGTGGAATAGAGACGCGTGTAGTGGAATAGAGAGCCGCGTGTAGTGGAATAGAGAGCCGCGTGTAGTGGAGTAAAGAGCCGCGTGTAGTGGAATAGAGAGCCGCGTGTAGTGGAATAGAGAGCCACATGTAGTGGAATAGAGAGCCGCGTGTAGTGGAATAGAGAGCCGCGTGTAGTGGAATAGAGAGCCGCATGTAGTGGAATAGAGAGCCGCATGTAGTGGAATAGAGAGCCACATGTAGTGGAATAGAGAGCCGCGTGTAGTGGAATAGAGCCGCGTGTAGTGGAATAGAGAGCCGCGTGTAGTGGAATAGAGAGCCGCGTGTAGTGGAATAAAGAGCCGCGTGTAGTGGAATAGAGAGCCACATGTAGTGGAATAGAGAGCCACATGTAGTGGAATAGAGAGCCGCGTGTAGTGGAATAGAGCCGCGTGTAGTGGAATAGAGAGCCGCGTGTAGTGGAATAGAGAGCCGCGTGTAGTGGAATAGAGAGCCGCGTGTAGTGGAATAGAGAGCCGCGTGTAGTGGAATAGAGAGCCGCGTGTAGTGGAATAGAGAGCCGCGTGTAGTGGAATAGAGCCACATGTAGTGGAATAGAGAAACGCGTGTAGTCGAATAGAGAGCCGCGTGTAGTGGAATAGAGAGCCGCGTGTAGTGGAATAGAGAGTCGCGTGTAGTGGAATAGAGAGCCGCGTGTAGTGGAATAGAGAGCCGCATGCGGCTCGGGAGACGCCAGTTGGCCACCGCTGAATCCAGCATCTGCACACGAGGCGATCTCATTGCTCTATCTCGTCTGTGGGCGCGCTCTTGGGCATTTCCTCCTCTAGGCTGTCACTCTGTCACTCTTCACGACCACCGGCTATCACCCCTTCAAGCGATGTGTCCTGCCCAAGCCCAGGTTGCGAGAAACTGCTCGTCTGGGGGAACTGTTACATTATTCTGAGGGAATTGTTAGAAAGTGAAAAACACCTCGATAAAAGCCTCTGTATATTTTTTGCCTCTAAATTTCCCTGAAAAGCAAAATCGAACCTTTGCATCTGTGGGCACAAACTGTTTCGTCTGGCAACATTTGTTTGGTAGAATTATGAAGTAGCCTGCGTTCAGAGATTTGGAAAACGTCTGAACCAGGTTTGTTCATTAGCACTGCCAGACTCAAGCTTTTAGACTCGGTTTCTTTTTATGGGGGGTGGACGGTGGGGGGGGGACAGACAAATCAACTGGAATCTGATGTCTGGAAATAAACTTGAGAGCTCCAATAAGGGTGGCTAATGGAAGCTTTCGCCGGGTATTGTCGCTGAACACTGACAATACTTTAGTCTTCTTCTGAGCTTCTCAAGTTAACAGTTAACATTGGAATAAAATGTTACCTTAGTCTGGCTCTGTTCGCCTTAGGCATGAATATTAAAATCTAAGAATACTTTAATCGGGCTCTGTAAGCCTCAAGAGTTGACATTTAACCATAAAAGCCCTATAGTTTGGCCCTGAAGTTTTAAACAGTAACACTGAACCCTAGGGATACAATGGGTACCTAAGTCTGGCTCTTCGTGCCTCACATTTACACTGGATGGTATATATCCTAAGGATGCCTATGCTTCTCTAAATCTAGGAAATTAACACTGCCTTTTAAGAATCCTAAAGGTGCCTTTGACTCTCTGAGCTTCAGATGTTAACATTGAACTCTTAAGAATACTCATGGTCAGGTCATCTGGCTCTATGAGCCTTAGGCATTAACACTAAATCCTAATCCTCAGGTGCCTTAGTCTGGCTCTGTGAACTTCAGGCACTGATGAACACTGGACCCCTTAGCCGGACTAAGGATGCCAAAATCTGGCTTTGTGAGCAACAAAACTCACAGGGAGGTGGCAGGAAGTTTCAATATTCCCATAGACCAAAGTTCGTGGGTGAACCACATGTTGTGAAATATAAGACAACACAATACGAGTCATTTAAAGGTGACCCTCGTACTAGAATTGGGACATTGCCATACCAAATATATTGGCAATAAATTGCCTTTGCCTGCAACACGTGTACTAGACGTCACACGTGAATATATCTCTCGTGATTGGTTAAAATAAAAGTCACAGATTTGGGTGACAGCTCTGGAATTGGGTGCCATGAGGTCACATCATTTTTTGTATGGAGCATGTTATTGGCTGCCAAAGTGGGTTTGCTAATTATGTCATAGACTGAAATATTACTTGGGTCACTGACTGAAGTGTGATTATGTTCGTTCGGAAATAATCTCGAGTCATACTTATGCTTAAGTGTCATATTCTGTGGAATGTTAACCCAACAACATAACCTCGCAGAGTCTTTCAGAAGGATCCTACTGGGGATGTTTGCCAAATTGTTCTACTTTCTCAACCACCCAGCCATCTTAATATTCCAGCTACGTCCAATGTTTTTTATAAATATATATTTTTTACCAAATATACATAATCCAACCTGCAGGTTCAGTAGACTGTTGTGACGTTCTTAACCGCCCCTACTAGACATCTGTGAAAAGAGCTTTATAGCTCATCGGATTCCTCCAGTATAAATACATCTTCTGATTTTTAAAATATTTTTTTAAAGCAACTATTCTCAACCACTGCACTCCTGACCTTGCCTTGATTCCTGCCCAGCAGAGAAATGCTGCAAAAGCCAAAAGCGAGCAAAGACAACGCGAAAAGTCCACTCTGAGCATTTGGCCGGATAGCCAAAACAAACCAAATCTAGTCAACCACTGAGAATACGAGCCGACCACCAACAAGAATCCTAACCACACGCTCCAACTACTGCCATAACACGAGCCCTACGATCCCTATCTAGGAGCCAACCAAACGCTAGCTCTGCCTCAAACCAACCAGACAACCAGACCCGATCCCTGCCACTGACCCTCGCCTTAAGCACACTATTCAACCGTGTATGCATGTTGCACTTCTTTAGCACCATACGTAACCAACCGTGCTAATCACTAGCCCTGCTTCGAACAACACGAGCTAACCAAACACGAGCTCTACCCCCCCCCCCCCAAAAAAAAAACCTCTGGCACTCACATTAATACTACCCCTAAGGCGTCCAGGAGATGGCAGTGGTGAGCACTCCGTCTGTTCCTCCCGTATTCTCCCCCCATATTAAGCGACTCAGAAATGGCCAAACATCCCAAGGCAAAGACCCTGCATCTCAAAAGTTTTGAGACTCACTGAGACTTTCCTGGGAAAATGACTGGCATTACTATTACTGTATTGTTACTTCGATACACTTTAGCCGGCCAAGCACGAGCTGTACCCCAAAAAAGCTACTCAAGTAGCCCCAACCATCCCAGTACCTTAACCCTAGCCAAACCTATGGCTCGTGGGGTCTGGCCGTATTTTCACTGCGAGTGTTCACGATTTAGGGGTGCAACGTGACGGTTTCCGGGTAGGGCGGGGGTGGGGGCGTAGGGAGGATAGGATGGCAGTGCTCCAGATAACCCGGGTACTGGGAGTTTTACGGATCACAAATACAAATGACGACATTTAAGTGCAATAGGCTGAGAAAATGTTGCCGCACAGCTGGAATTCGATTGGTGGCAAAAAAAAGAACCGATGCAAGTGAAGGAGCAGTCACATGATCATCGGGGCCTGTGCAGGGGTGTTCAGTAATAATCATTCTAATTCATAATGCGCATTCCATCCTAGGATTCCAATACGCAATGCATGGAAAACAGGAAACAAAAACAGAACCTCTTTAGGGAAGGCCTCTTTAAAGAGATGGGTTTTCAACGCAGGTGTCAAAGCAGTAATGGGTACCGCTAAACTACACCGTGTCGCGTTCAGTCTTTTGGAATTTAGCTTTTTGAAAGATCCTCATTGAGAAACATTGAGTTTGTAATAGCAATGTTTCATATAAAAGTGTCGGGGTTCTTGTGCAGTCCTTTATCAAAAACATTGCGGTTAAGGCTGTAGTTACTAATGCCTAAACGATATGGAGTGTTAATATTGTACAATGCGCATTAGAATTACTGATGGCTTCAGGTTCACCAGCATTCATTCAAGCAAGCCAGGCTCTTCTGATGAGACACTGTATCAAATCCCATCCAAGAGTTTGCTTGTGTTGAACCAATGCTCCCAGAATGCCATGTGGCTGATGTGTAAAAAATAATTTATATTTTTAGGTGGCCAGATATGTGAATGGGGGGGGGGGGGGGGTATTCTCTAATTATGTATGTTGTTACTTATCTTCTGCATTATTTATCACACATGTCGAAATTGAAGGGCAAATTATTCAACTTTACAATTTTGATGATGTTCGTTGCTGACTGCTTGACGTGTTGGGGCCTATGGGCCTGTGCTCAACAACTGTGTTATTTAAAAAAAAGAGATACACAACCCCTTATCTGAAGCACTGTGGTGGAGATCAAAGAGATGGTGGGAGGTGTAGACATGTGGAGATGGAGGGAAGGGGCAGTATGGGCAGAGAGGATGAGGTCACAGGGGTCATGGAGATGCTACTCGGGCCCACTGCCGTCTTGCTCAGGTCTGGTCCCAGCTCGGCCGAGTTTCAAATGCTTGTCGTGTCAGGGTTCACTGTGATTTGGGCCCAGCAAGGGGGACCCGTGGACTGGGGGTCTCTGGAGGGACGACCCTAGAAGTGGGGAACCTTTGATAGGGTGACTCAAGAGGGACGGTTTTGAAAGGGGGGACCCCTGCATGGGGGTACTGGCGATGGATGGCTTTGGGAGGGGGGACCCCTGTATGGGGGTACTGGCGATGGATGGCTTTGGGAGGGGGGACCCCTGTATGGGTGTAATGTGAAGGGATGGCTGTGGGAGGGGAGACCCCTGTATGGGTGTAATGTGAAGGGATGGCTGTGGGAGGGGGGACCCCTGCATTGGGGTGTTAAGTGATGGCCCTGGGAGGGGAGACCCCTTGAGAGAGGGGTTTTGGAGGGACGACCCTGGGAGTGGAGACCCCTGAATTTGGGGGCTCTTGAGGGATGGCCCTGGGAGAGGGGATCCCTGTACAGGTGCATTCTGGAGGGACGGCCCTGGGAGAGGGGACCCCTGGACAGGGGGGCTGTGGACGGACGACCCTGGGAGGGTTCTCAGCGCCTCGGGGCGCGACTCGGAGGTAAGGGGGGTCTCGCAGGTCTGGTGCTGCGTGGTGGGCGACGACACGTTCCCCCGGGCGTGCGGTGCGGGCGACAGATCGGCGTAGGCCCCGAGCGCTGGGCGGTCCGGCTCATCCTTTCCTGGGGAGGGGTCCCAAACACACGCGGTCTATTATACGGAGCTATCACCGGCGGGGCCACCACACAAATACCAATTTTCCCATCTCCCCCCATCACTCCCCCCTTGGTTCCGCCAATGTTGAGTCGTGAATTAGACTTAGAGATTTACCAGGACAAATTGAGGACGATCCTGGGAGAGAGAGAGACAAAAACAAGAGAGGTGGCAACTACAGTGCCCTCGGGGTTCGAACGAGGTGGAGGAGGGAGAAGAGGAAGAAGAAGAGGAGGGCGGCACCTAGTGGCTGCAGGCGCAGCCCCGAGGGGAGGCGTTGCGCAGGCTTGGTGAAGAGGGAGAAGTAGCAGAGCACGAAGGCGCAGAGCACGAACGCGATGAGGATGAGTCCGGCGATGCCGAGTCCCACGAGGGCGCCCACGCTGCACGTGGGTGGGGGGACACAAAGACAACAACAACAACAAGATCCCCCGGATAGCCTTTGACAGACTGTTGGGCCAAGTGCTATTCACGAGCACCCGTTCAGGCCGGCACGGCACACAAGGGGGGTGGGCCAGCACCACGCCCGCTCCCCCCCATGTTTATTTCCCCCATGATGATGTTTACACGGAGGCCCAGCACCGGTTCAGATGTTCGTCACCGGTGTTGGCTGTGAGTGGGATTTGAACTCGGATCGCCGGGTTCGGAGTGCAGTGCTCCTGTGAAGGCACACGCTGCTCCCTGCAACAGCGTGAAGGCACTGATGTCGCCGCTTCCCCTCTATGCTCATCTCTTCTGACCCTCTTTGCATTTTATTTCTCATTCGCCCTCTTCTCTCTTCGCTTTTCTGTTCCTCTTTCATGTTTTCCATTAAAGGAGTAACACTTCGTGGGGACGTGAACACCGGTTGTCCTATGGATAGACACGCCCCCGTCACAGAAATGTGGAATGTCCGTCACTGGTTCAGGGCTGCAAACAAGAGATGAGCACCAATGCATCAATGCTCATTGAAGCAGGAAATCACGTTGACTATTTTGACACGCACACACACACACCGCCTCTCCGATTAGCACGATTGGCTATGTACGGTGCGAAAGAAGTTCCAAACACATATACACACGAGGCAAGTAAGAAGTTGCAAATAACTCTTGTTGCGATTCGATTAAATGTTACGAGTCGGACTCATGGTATTTCATTTCCCCCCGTTGTGGTGTGTATATAATATCTTGTGACTGCAGGTTTTATGCGAACCCACTACAGAGTAGAAAATAATCGAATCTTACAACGTATTATTTGATGTGCACATTTCGCGAGCATGTCCATTTTAAACGATGTACCTGTAACTTGAGTGATACATTATAATCCACGGATACCAATCCACCGATTTTTCCTTTTATGAATTTTATTTATTTAGACTGCAAAAATCCGATGAGCTATGAAGCTCCTTTTCACAGATGTCTAGGGGCGGGTCAGCAAGTTACACACACAGCGTCTGAGCCCTGTACAATACAGTGCAGGGAATAAACAAATCAATCTCTGAAACCAAGGGGCCGTCTATAAATGACGTCACCCATCTGGGGGGGGGGGGGGGTCAGACATGTGTGACGATGTGTGACGAGGGGGGGGGGGGTGAGAAATGTGACGTCACATCAAAATGCGCAACTTTAAATAAATATAGACAACAAGTTCTACTTCATTAAATAGACTTTTTAATAAATGTTTTCTCCTACAACATCAGAGTGCAGCGCCACATTAAATACGCGCTACAATGACGATAGTTCTAAAGCGATTTGAAGCATGTTTTTTTTTTGGGGGGGGGGAGGGGGCAGAGCTATGTGACGTCATATTTGAGGGGGGGTCTGACTTTTTGTGACGCCGTGTGACGAAGGGGGGAGCGGTCCAAAATCGTCCAAAATCGCGTGACGTCATTTATGGACGGCCCCCAAGTCTGGATACATGGCTGGGAACTTTACGGCGTATACCCAGAATTATTCAAGAATCCCAGACCAGCAAGACATCGACGTTTACCAGAATTGTTCTCCAATATCCCGCCCTTTCGGCAAGACGCTGAGCAAATGGGAGATCGACATCTTAAATCCTGGCAAGAGAGATGACAACCCACAAAGCCTCCGCCAATCCCCCCTGCTCAAATCCCGCTGTGAGCAGATTGAAGCAGCTCTTTCTAGCAAAGATCACCCCAATCTTCAACCTAACTTCCCGACGGGGCAGGCGAGCCGTTAGATAATGGCTGTGACAAAAGTGCTGCCCTTAACGAGCCACATAAACGCCACCTTTCCCGTGAATATCAAGACAGCAACTGATTTAACAGACCCGTCATCTCACCTATGACACGGTAGTTGTGTTTTAAGGTCTCACACTAAAGTTTAAAAATCCTTAACTGCCGAGTCACCACCCAGCTGGCGATAGCCATGCTGAGCGAGCGAATGGAAATCCCTGCCGAATTCATAGGCACAACAACGACCTCAAAGATCCGTTCCGGCACCCTGGCTTTTAACCTCGCGAGATCAACGACATCTCTGCTACTACACTACCCACAACATCATCAGTGTGGCTGTCATCGCTACTGATAACTCCGGCCTTATCCCCCCCCCCCCCGCCCACCCCCGACATATAGGACAGACCCTAACGCCAGACCTTCAGACCCTTGTAAAGAAACGTCAAAGGGCTGGCGCCTTGAAAGTGAAACATGAGCAAAACGGCCGTGTCTGCAGTTCCGGCCCCGACAGCTCGCTGGTGATTAAGGAAAAATTAATCTGGAAGCCCTCCAGGCCATGGTCGCAACAGCTCATATCGTTGGGGAAAGTATGCCTCCTGCTAGTGTCACAAAGCCTGGTCCCCTCGCCGTGTCCACACCACCGAGACCGTCGCCAGTGGGGTCACCAGGGGGGGTGCGGACCGCACCGGGTGACACCATCAGAGGGGGTGACACCATGAGAGGGGGTGACACCAAAATTACAGTGTTTCAGCAGACATTTCTTATCTTTTTTCACGTAAAAATATCCCCGTAGTTAGTTATAACAAAAACATTTTTCGTAAGCCCAGCTTACATGTACTGTATCAATATACCTACAAAGCTAAAACTCTATGCTAATTTACTTGTTGAACCTTCTATTGCGCTCCGGTCAGAGCTGTCATTATTACCCAATTACAATGACGCTTCGAATCACGTGGCTTCGTCTGCACGTGCTACAAGCACGCGCTGTTGTTTTCGTTGCTGATGATGTTATATAGTCGCTGATTTTGTCAAATTTGATGGTGTTTTAGCCACAATATTGTGGTAATTAGTATTTGTGAACCTATATCGATAACTTTTTTTAGAATGAAGCAGTAATTAAACAAAAAGGAGAAGAATAAAAAAGGCTTCCGCTGAGTTACTAATAAAGTTGTAACTAATAATTTTGTAATTCAATGTAGAAAGATTTTACAAAAAACTTTTTTTAACAACGGTTTTATTAACAACTTCGTTTAGCTCACGGTCGAGAAGTACGTCAATGGCGCCTGAGACACGTGGTGGCGCCTGAGACACGTGGTGGCGCCTGAGACACGTGGTGGCGCCTGAGACACGTGGTGGCGCCTGAGACACGTGGTGGCGCCTGAGACACGTGGTGGCGCCTGAGACACGTGGTGGCGCCTGAGACACGTGGTGGCGCCTGAGACACGTGGTGGCGCCTGAGACACGTGGTGGCGCCTGAGACACGTGGTGGCGCTTGCTTCTTGGGTGAAGCGATTCTAGAGTTTAGGGACCGCGGCGTTTTTTACGCACACAAATATTTTTTTAATAATAAGGCGTCCATACAAAATGTAAATTGCTTTAAAGTAGCGAATTAATTGATGCCGATTTTGATAGAGGCATGCATTGTTACCGGATCTGAGTATGTGTGCAACATTTGGGATTGATTGAACAACAGGAAGTAGACTACATTTTTATTACAAGATTTGACCACGACATGGGAATCAAGTTAAGTAAAACCGTTGAAAAATGTTGTTAGTATTCATATAATCTAAGAAATATTACATTTAAACATACTCGTTGGTTCTTTCGGTAAAGTTACGTAGGTAGAAAAATTAAATAAAACAAAAAATAATATATCATGACGTTTTGATCGCAACACAAGCGGTCGCCCTCAGGCAGAAAAAATATAATCCAACAGTGGAACTGCTGAACCAACGAGAGGGCTGTTACAACAAGAGGTTATTTATGTGTATATTCTTTGGTTCTTTCTGTAAAGTCATGTAGGTATAAAATTAAATAAATCACGACGTTTCGGGCGCACCACAAGCGTCCGTCATCAGGTGGGAAAGTGATGGTCTGCTGCTGATGGCAGACTGTTTTAAAAGGTTTGAAATGGGTGTAGCCCAAGGGTCATAAAGAAGTGGCCGGGGTTAGTGATGTTAATGTGAGAAATTAGCGTGATGTTAATGTGAGATATTAGCATGTAACTGTAAGATAAGAGGAGAGCGGCCTCCTGGACGAGGGCACGGAAGTGGCTATGTTAATGTGAGAGATTAGCATGATGTTGATGTGAGAAATTAGCATGTAACTGTAGAAAAGGAGGAGAGCGGCTTCCTCGACGAGGCGATGGGCAAGCAAGCGGGATCTGAGCTGGAAAGGAATTTCATCCCCGGACGCAAGCATGTCAGTTGTGTTAATGGGGGAGATTAGGGAGAGAGAGATTAGGGAGAGAGAGATTAGCATATGCACACAACAGCAGTGTTAATGGGAGATTAGCACTATGTTGATGGGAGAGATTAGGCAGGGAGATTAGGGGGATTAGTAAGTTAATGTCATGTCTATGTGTAACACAAGCTGCCTCACTGCTAACTGCGCTGTGAGGCAGCGCGTCCACGCAAGTGAACTATCGTAACGGTGGTCGCGTCAGTGAGACACAAAGCCCATCACACAGCCAGAACCATCGATACATCGAGGCTAAGGGAGCAGAAGTGGCCATGTTAGTGAGACCCCAGCCCGTTAATGCAGAGGCACCCAACAGGGCAATGCAACTGAGAGAGTCGGAGATAACAGCCAAACGGCAGGGAAGAATGGGAGCACCACAGCAACTCACGAGTTTGCTTGGTTAATAACGTCCTTCCAGTGGTCGCTCAGCTTATACCCATCTTCTCTGTTGAAATTGTCTCTGTGTTTGTAGATCTGGATGGCTTCATGGACAAATCTTTGAAGGTGGCCCGAAGGTTTGCAGAGTACCTTGGTCTCGGGAAAAACAGGAGGAGGACTGAGGCTGCACAAAACCATTGATGCCGAAACTATTGCTTTGATGGAAATGGAGAAAAATTGGACGGGCATCTTGCACAGATTGCTTGATATCACATTGTTTCTTGCCAAGCAGAATCTGGCATTCCGTGGCCACAAGGAAGATGAATGTTCATTGAATAAAGGGAACTTTCTTGAGATGGTTGAGATATA